GGGGGTTGGACTAGATGATTTCCTGAGGTCCCTTCCAACCCCTACAATTCTGTGATTCCTTCTTGGGGCAACCAGTGCCAACTCACTGTTGTGGATGGGAAGAATTAAAACTTACTTGGAAATCCTCTGGGCTGCAGCCTTTCTGACCACTGCCTGCCTGTGGTTTGCTGGAGGCTTTGGAACCAGCTGAGAAGGCATACTGTGGGATGGCATCACTTTGTGCAAACTGGCTGCCTTCTGGATACTAGAAGTGGCACTTGATGTCTTGCGGGCATCAGAGCCAGCGGGCATAGATATATGGCTGGTGCTGGACTGTGAGTAGTTGACAAAGAGAGCCTGGTAAAAAGACAAAAAAAAAAGAAAACAAAAATACCATAGTAATTGGTGATGACCTCTCTGAATATTGATTGCTGGTGACACTGGGTGACATTTTTGTGACAAATAATATCTGTCTGGTGAAGGCAACCCCAGGGCACCAGGGACAGTCTCACATGTAAAAAGAAGAGTTAAGTGGTCAAGTCAGTGAAGTTAGTTTTTAGAGCTGAATTTTATACCCCTGGAAGCTAGGACCTGGGACTAGTTTCTAGGAAGGCAGACAAGCTCAGTACTGCCACAAAATTATACTATTCTGCATTAAAAAAAAAAAAAAGTCCTGTCCTCAGTCTAGTCTTGCAGTGGGCTCCCATCCACAAAGAAGTAAAGCTTTTACTGCTTTGACTGACTTTCTGCATTTATTTTGCTAAATTATTATTTGTGTGGGAGGAGAGATTGAGACACAGTTCTAGGAAAGATAAAGGCTATGGAGAAGATGTTACAATGACAGTTCTTCAGTCTAACCTCGTAGGTCCTTGGAATAACAGAAAGGCTCTAGGGTACCTTCTCTGAAAAAGGGACTTTAGGTCAGCAGTGACAAAAAGGAAGTCCCCAGTAATACTAGGGAACATAAAATATTTCTATTCCTATAGCAGGTGGGAGAGTAAGTATGTTGGAGATTTGTCAGAGGGAACTAAAGAATCTGCATGTTATGAGACACTGGAGAACTGAGCAGTGGACTGGCAAAGCAGGGAGTGGGGAATGGTTCCCCACTGCAGCTCTGCAAACCTGCTGGGAGTTCTGCCTCGTCTTTCCTCGAAGTCAGTCAGATTCCCAGAGCAAAGAGGCAATACTGTAACCGTGGAGTTTGGCAGCTAGAGGTCAGTGATAGGAGATGAGGGGAATAGCTGAGCACTCGCCAGTCACCTCAGAGTGACCCTGGGAGCACTGCCCTTCACTGTGTTTGTCCTCAGTTTCTCCTCTGGTGAAAAACACACAAAGCCACAGCAAATGGGCTCCAGGCTCCAGAGAAAACCACAGTCTGAGGGCTGGCTGAGTCTCAGCACACAGACAGGAAAAGCCCCTCTCCCCCGCAATTCTCTGGCAAATGGCAGGGCAGTGGTGTGTGGGAAGGCGTTTCTGACAGGCAGAGCTCTAGAGAGAAAAGGAAGCGCAGGAGCCAAAACAGGCTTGTTTCCTAACTAGAGCTCACTGACAAGATGCCCTTGGGCTCCCAATCCTTCTTAACCTCTCCCTTCCCTGAAGCGCTACCTTGATTGCAGCTTTCAGATTCTGAGTAAATAGCTGGTGCAAGTGCAGAACTCTGAAAAATAGCAGTCACACCCCACCTCCTCCCAGCAAAACAAACTAAAATGGAACTTGGTTTAGTCTCTTGCATCTTTGAGTCTGACACATCATGGGGTTGGGATGGAGACACTCAAGTCACTGCACCCTCTTCTTATTCAGGGGTGACATTTCATTGTTCTCTGTTTCATATTATGCCTACTTCCTGTAAGTTCTTTTTCTTGTTATTAAAATCACTAAAATCCTGGAGTACACAAAGCATACAGTCTTCACCCCTTCCCTGTGTTAACATGCATTGGTAAGGAGGTCCATGACTCTGAAGAAAGAGCAAGCATGGATGCTCTAACAATGTCTGATCAGTGAAAGCTGGGCTGACACCTGCCTATAGAAAAATAATGGATGTTTTTCTTTGGGGTAACTGACTCCCAAAAAGGCCTTTGTCTCCACGCTGTGCTGAGATTCTGGCTGCCTTCCAGGCAAGGATGAGGAGACTGGAAGTTAACACTGACCATGGCTTCTGGATTCAGCTACAAAGCATAGTGCCCTGCTGTGAACTCCATGGGGACAGGACAGGAAACCAGGAGAAGCTACTGTGAAAATGAAGAGGGCAGCTGGGGAGAACAGAGCCTGAACACACAAAGGAAGGGCTGGGAAGAGATCTCAGCACATCCAAAAAGCAGGAGACAGACCTCATCACTCGGGATTCTGAAGTCTCAGGGTCTCGGGGGGGCAGAAGCCTAGACAAACCCTGACAGAGGCAGCCTTGAAGCAGGTAGCACCCTACAACTATTGCTGCTGCAAGTAAAAAACTTTGAACCACACTTCCCAGGCTGGCAGATTTTAACTTGATGTTGAGGAGTTATATACAAGTTCTTAGGGCTACAAATCTGAAAAATACTTAGAACACTATGAAACTTTTAGCTAAAAATCATGTAAAGCATTAGTGAGTTAATTTTCTTGCATAATTCTCTGGGAAGGTAGGACAGCATTAACCCTGTCTTGCACATGAAGACTGTTAGTACTAACAGCAAAAAGCCATTTTCCCTAAGCCACAGACTGAAGCAATACAAAAAAACTAGGTTGAGAGCTCAGAGAAGATCCTGACTCCCAATCCCATATTTGCCTCATTAGATCACACCTCTCCTTGTTTCCACATCTACATATGAACACCACACACAAATTGTTACCTGTAAAAAATAGTAGCTTTTAATCAGAAAAATCGCAACATGTACAGCTTGTCAGTAAGGATAATGCACATCTAAGAGTATTAGCCAGTAGCAGCTGAGCTCAGGTTGCTCATGATTAAAAGCAGGGAGGTACTGCAGTACTTTGAAGAAAAGCAGATATGTTAATGATCTTCAAAAACAGAAAGAATGTTCCTGGCACTTACCATCTCTGTATCTAACACCCATCCCTAGCACAGTAACGGAACAAATGTTGCAAGCAAAAACATGTTCATTCTGTGACCAGAGGAGGTAATGAAGCTCATTTTATGTGAATCTGTCTCAGGGCTGAATCTTACAGTATCTAATATAAAGCATGCCTCAAATTATGCCTCCTTTCATGAGTTTAGGGCATTTTTGTGTTGATTTTCTGATGTCTAATTAGGAGTGGCCTCATGCTGCAGTCTTTGCCTTAATGGGAACAGTAGTTGAATCCCCTTTCCAAGTATATAGCTCTTTATTTTAATGAAATTTATATGAAACATAGCTTTGAGAATTCTACGCCATAGTCATTCAGTTTAAATTGGATCAGCAAGTCTGAAAACAGTGAGAGATCCAGCAGTGTATGAGAACTGACAGACAGATGCACACACACCTGTATTCCATAAAGATCAGTGCAGCTAGTTCCAAATCACTAGCACTGGAAACTGAAATGTTTATAAACGATAAACAATTATGAGAATTTCAGTTAAAAAAAGGAAAAAAGTGCACAACAAAACAAAACCCATCACTTTTAGAGAAACAACTGCATTTCAGATGACATTGCAAAAATACAGAGAATTAAAAGACTTGGAAGACCTTTGCAGTCATATAATTTTTTTAGTGGAGATTATTTTGAACACCCATTAATGCATTCAGTTAAATCAGTTTGGATGCAATAATCAATTGAGTTGAAAATTCACACAGTGGCAATAAAGAGCAGGCTCAAAATGTAGTATTAACTGCCACAGCGTTAACTGCAGCAAGATAAGCATCTTGGGGTCATCAGGAAATTTATAGAAGAGGAGCAAGTTCATGGTATGCAGAGACTGTCCTCAAGCATGTCTTCCTTGGAAAATTCTTCAGAACAAGACTAAAATATACTCAAATAAGTTGACTTGGTGCCTTCTCCTTTGTCTCTCTTGGTCCTGGGAGCAATCTGGGGCAAGGATTGGGCCATATCACTTTATCGGAAAGTTCCTTAATACATCTGGGCGTTACCATAATTCTAATAATAGTGACAGGATCAGAACCATGGGGACAAAATTTCAGCTGGTATAAATCAGCACTGACTACTGCTTTCTGAACAGTTGTTCTGCTTTACTTAGACTGAGACTTTGACTCATCAGTATCACAAGACTCAACTAGGAAAAGTGGCAGTTAGTACATTTAGTGGGAAAACAATCTGAGGGAGAAAGCTGCAAAACAAGAATGAACAAGAGACTGAAGGGGAAGAGAGACTGCAAGTCTGACAGCAGTCCAATATCTAATAGTTTAGAAAACAGTTTAATGATGTTTAAGGCTGCATTCAAAGAGGCTCTGTGTCCTCAGGCAGGAATAATGTAGTTCTAGGAATACTAGGAATATTATTCTGAATACTCCACGTTCCCAGTGAGATCTAAATAAACTGTAGGGAATTCAGAGGAGAATCACTTACATTAAAAGAAAAAATGCTGCTGAACTTCATAAAATGAGGAATATTTCAGAGCATATACCATTTTTAAATGACTGAGAGAATTATTTAAGATTAACTTAGCCCAATGTTTTACAGCATAAAATTTAATTAAACTTCCAATTGAAAATGTGATCATAACTGACCACACAACTCATTAACATGATGTATGTATTGTTTAACATGAGCTTTTTTGATATAAGCAGGACTGATGGGGATCATTCCACTACATGACCATACTTTTCTTGTTTTAATTTAGCTTTTTTCCCCGTGAAATGTTTGGCATAAAATTCTAAACCCAGTAGATAGTAGGCTAAGCAGACAGAACACAGCCACACAGAGAGGGAGGAACCTCCCTAACAGCTAATGGCATCTTTCCAGTACAGGAAACAATTAGAGAATAAACAATGATGGTATATTAACTGTCTTGCCAACTGCAGCAGTGATACTAACATCTAGGTCACTGCATGTCACATTAAGTCTCCTTTAAACACTAAAAATACTGCTATAAGCCTGTTTTTCTTGTCTTTTGGTTTGATTTTGTAATTCTTGTTCCTTGATTTTGTTGATATCAGATCTAAGCTTCTCGTCTCCACTTTCAAACTCTGCCCTTTTCTATTTTTTTTAAACTCTTTCTCAGACTCTGTATTATCTCTGTTCCTGGGCCCTATCATTGCATCCATTTGTTTGTTAGATCCTCATCCAGCCAGTTTGGTGTTTTTCTTTTTGTTCAGGGAATGAAGTACCTATTCTGGCATCAAAGACCTATTTCCACCATACTACACTGCATCAAATGACTTCCATATACAATGAGTAAAAATTGTTGGCTATTATTCCTCTTCCACCACCTACACAGTATTTGCTACTTGGCAAATTGTTAAATACCTGGAGAAGAAATCATCATTCTTAACTGTCTGGAAAGCACTCAACCAAGAGTGGGTGCTGCCACAAAGAAGTATGCAATAAGCCTTCATGATAAGATATATCCACTGCACGGCAGATGGAAGTACTCCTATTGCACAAACACTTGGCTAGGAACTTCCACGCTTTCCAATGCATCCATTTCATCTCCAACTGGTTAATGTACGGGCAGAAGCATTTGCCTGTGTTATTAATCACAGAGCTTCTGTTCACACGCTATCCATATACATATGACTAGTTCATTTGTCATTGAGAGAAGGAAAGACTGGCATCTAGTCATGTTGTACGGTTGTGCTGGGGCTGGGGGGGCGCTTTTGGTAGTGGGGAAAGAGGCTATAGTGACGGCCCCTGTGAGAAGCTTTGAGAAGCTCCCCTGGCTCCAAGGCAGACCCACCTCCAGCCCAGGCTGAGCCTATCAGCCATAGGGAAATGCCTCTTTGAATCTATATTTATGAGGGGAGGAATGGGTTTGGCAAGGTTTAGCCTGCCTTCCAACTGTAGCAAGAACTTGAACAACCTGAAAGAGGCTTGGAGATATCCTGCATGTATTCCCCAAAGTAGAGAGATCATGACATTGTTTCAAGTGATATTCTGGGGGGTATATTTCTTCTGTTGAGAGAAGGCTGAGGAACCTGAATGTAGCAGGCAAGACAACAAAGGATGGAGTAGATCAATAGGTAGGAAGGAACAGATGGGAAAGAGCAAGCAACAGGAGACAGGTGGCTTACGTGACACTGACTAGGAAATGTGGTAAAGCCATGCAGGTTAGGATATAAGCTACATCAACTGTAGGGAAGAGAGGACAAAGGATGGCCGGCAGGAAAAGGTGGGATGGAAGTCAAAGCAGTGTGAGTTGGAAGGAGATGTAGGGCAGGGAGTGTGTAAGTAGCAGGAAAGCGAAGGCGGTTCTTGAAAAGGTCAAGTTAAAGGACTGGAGTCTGAGAAGCTAACTAGCAAAAGGAAGAGGTCAGTGACAGGAAACTAGAGAGGGAGCAGGTGATAGACAGATGAAGATGAGGGTAGTGCTGTGACTGGGAGGGGCTCAGGGGATCAGTGCAACTGTGACTGGAAGGGGAGGTCTGGATAGCTCCATACAATGTCTAGTGGGAGAGGAAGTGTCCAAGAGACAATAATTTTATTACAATGTGGTTTTCACTACAGAAATCTGAAAGTCCCCAGATTCAGCAAATACCTTTCTTTACTAATGGCAACTTCAGTGCAGCCTGGGCCCTGCGGCACAGCAATGGCCTCAACACTGCAACTCCAAACTGCTTGGCTCAGAAGAAGGGAGGGAGAGAAAGGAGGGGGAAGTTGTGGGGGTGAGAGGAGGTTTAACAAAGAATCACTTCAACAGAAACTCCTGAGTAATGGCTCTGCCCAAGGCCAAGAATAACATCAGCTCAATGTCAGCAATTAGAAGAGGGCTCAGCCAGGCCCCATGGCCAGCTCCAGCCTCCTCACAGGCACAAGCCAGCTTACAGCCCCTTCCTGAGCTCATGAGCAGCCCACCCAGAGCCCCTTGGATGGAGATGAAAGGAAGACCTCCTGCTCAGATGGGGAGCAAGAAGACTGTAGGTGAGGGAATCTGGGGATGGAAATTGCATGGCTAAGTGAGGGCCTTGAAAGGAGGAGTGCAAGAAGCAAAAGCAGAAGGGCCTCTCCTTCAAGATGCTCCTAGAAAAGGACGAGAGGAGTTTGCCTATAACCTATTCTCAAGGAACCTGATTAGTGACTCATCTCCTTCACAGGAGAGAGAGTGGGTGTTCAGACCTCTGCATGTTAGCTCTGTTCCTGGCTTTGTTGGAGTCCAGACCTGCCAGACTGCCCAGCAAATAGGTCCTTCTTAATGGAGACCAATCTCTTTTGAGTGAAGGTTTGTTCACCCAAAATCTTCCTTCCTTTTAGCAGAGAAGCCTTTTGGACATCACTCAGAAGAAAGAATATGCTTCTCTCTCCATAAGAACAAAGAAAGGAAACATGTGCATCAACGATCTCATTGCAACCTTGGAAGTTTCCCCAGGCAGGATGGAAATGCTTTTCCATACACAGTGGTCCACCCTTGGCATTTAGGTATCATCCAGAACACTTTTTCATATTTCCTCTAGCTCTTGGACACTTAGCCCATCTTTTCTCCTTGCAGTCGTAACAAAAGAGTCATGTATCTGTCAAACAGTTCCATGCAAAACAGTGAAAGGAGATCTTAAATGTAGTAATAACAAAATGTGTAGGAGACCTGGAGAAGATTTTCAGGGTTGCAGAGAAAGTGTGCATCTGGCATCATGGACAGTGGCCATGCCTCTTGCACACTGAAGGCTCTTAAAATAAATTAATATATTTCTTAAAACAAATGATGATTCTCCTAAATAATTTTTGAGTCTCCTTAACATACTGCTCTTTTGACAACTGCACCATATGAGAAGACACCAGGAGGAGGAGAATTTAATCAAGATGAAGCCTTGAAGGGGTCTGTTTGCCACAGAGGACACAGTTGCCTATACAATTTCAAGACCATACATTTAGAAACACTGTAATACAACACTGACCCAGCTTGAAGCACTACCCAAGAAGAACTCAAGTCAAAGCATGAACTTCATCAGTGATGAGATTAAGTGACAAAGAACTGTAGAGGCTGTAGAAAGTTCTAAGGTTGTCTGAGGCACTGTAAGGGCATGCCCTGAACTGGTGAAGAAAAGCAAGCAGCAGCATGCCAGTGGACAAATGGAGGAGGATGCCAATGCAGTGGGAGAAGCCATTGGGAACTACAGCATCAAAATGTTATCAAAACCACTGCAGGCAACATTAGTTTTGTTGCAACCCACTTGAAAAGCTACTTCCCTCACAAAAGCTGTGCCACATGTACTGGCTCTGGGTTAGCTCTGCACATCTCGGACTCAGTCAGCACTGCTATAATCCCAGGCAGGATTTCTCCTTAGTTACCTGGTGCCGGGCTTGGCTTTGCTCCAACATCTGTCGTGACTGAAGTTTCTCCTGCTGAAAAGCAAAATGGAGCTGACGTTTGGGATGGGCCAGCGGACTCTGTGTCACCTTGTTGTAGACACTGTTCTCCGCCTCTCCTACCCAGGCAAAACGATGATTCTCTGGAGCCCTGAGAAAAGAAGAGCCATCACGCTTTCACCACTCTGCATATAAGGATCCCTGCCTACAAGGCACTGCTGCTTCCTAAAAATCCCTTAACACTTAGCCAGTTATGAATTTGCGTTAAGTGGCTCCAACAAGCCCAACACCTGCTAGAGGTGCCATGTGCCATCTGCTGTCTTGCTAAAGAGCTTCTTGAATTCCAGGCTGGGGCTATATCACTAGCTGTAACACCATGCTTGAGGAGAACAAAGGAAAAGAGTAGAAAAATTCTAAACTGGAGCATGCCTGTGGCTGATTAGCATTGAAGAGAGACAGAAAAGAGCTAAGGATCCCCATCACTAATGAGGTAATTATTTACTTGGATTTGTAGATATTTTGTTAATACACTAACACAAGGCTTACATCAAGCACATCCATGCTGCAGTGAGAGTGGAACAGAAGACAGACATGCAGTACAATATCCACAGAGAAGATAAAGGACTGGTAGGGTGAGGTTGTAACTAGGGCATATATTGACTCCATACAGTTACAATCCAAAAGACCTGAGGGGACTGAAGACAGGCTCATTTCCTTCATCATCAGAGCAATGTAAGCCTTTCCCAGAGGAGAAAAGGCCTCCTGCAAATAACGCAGGAGCTCTTACAACTGAGGCTTATACAGTGGGAGTTCAGCTGTGGCTGCAACATGATAAGTACCAACAGGAGCTCACTGGCTTGCTTTGAAGTTTGTAAGCCTCGGCAAGAAGGCAGCACCAACACACTTCTACAAAAGCCCAAGCGGGTTTGCAGAGAGCAGATGGCAGACTGACAGGACCACAAGGCGTCCTGAAGAGGCTACAACGGCCCAGCAACCCACACATCCTGTGCTCACAAGACAGGATGCCGTATGACCCACTGAATCCTGACACTCTGGCTAATAAAACCTTCAAGCCTCAATGCCTGTGCTTCCCAAGTTTCTGCTGATCTCTGTCATGTTTCTCTCAGCCACTCTTTTTCCAACTATTTCCTGTGGATTCCCAGAGCAGATTTCCCGTGTATTTCCTATGCATGTCATAAGTTACTGGGATGTAAAAGGTACTTGATGTATTTTACATTTCATGCCATGATTCAAAGTGTAGGTCATGGTTTTGGCAAGGCAGTTAACTGCAATCTCCTTGCTTCAGGATGCTATCAAAACTTATAACCTAGATTCTTGGAACATGTCACAGCTTCCCTTGAATGTGCTGCACCTTTTCCCATAAGCTTCATCATCACAGCAAACCCTTAAAATACTCAGAAGGATGTTTCAAACAAGATCAGAAGCAACTGCCAGCCCTGTGTACTCTCCCCCAAAATAACCTACTGCATCCCTTCCAAAGCAAACTGAAGACAACTCTAAACACTAAAGGGTCACTCTCTATACTCAGCTCCTCAGCAACAGAGGAGCAGGACAACCCAGTGGAAAAGGAGTTCAGCTGCTAGCAGCTCCACCCTGCATCGTCTGGGCCTCCTCTTGCTTGGAGCATCACTACCACTTTTGCTCTTACGGGCCATTGGCTGTAGATAGCCTTCTCTAGGCTTCTCTGTTCAAGGAATCCCACCCATGCTTCCTGAGTCCTTTGCTTCCATTCTACCCCAGTGCAACACTAGATAAATTACTCTTATTCCCTGCTCCCTTTTGCTACAAGATTCTCAGTCTTTCAGTTCTTTTCCTCTCACCAGTGCTTGAAGAAGTGGCAACTGTGACGTTGCTGACAGTACTCAGACTTTGAAACTCAAGGTGTATAGGTCCAAATCTGGCTTTGTGTTAGCCTTGGGAGAGCTGCTTCCCTGTTCTGAACCTGCCTCCTCCTTTCTGCCCCAGTAACAGGGTCATGATCCTCTACTACTGTGGTTTTACCTGCAGTTGCTCATCTTTGGATCCACAGATGTGTGTGTGCTGGTGGCCCCCCAGCACTGTCCCCTACTGGGCACAGGATGCCACAAAAAGTGTGACTTAAAAGGAGGACATGACAAGGCATGAGGAATCTTTGAAACAATCCCCAGCTGTCTCCTCTCTGATCTCACCAGCTCACCACATGGGTTATCAGCAGGTTGCTGTCATCTGGACTCAACTCCCACCCCAAAAGCATCTACAGTAGGGCCACAAAATTGGTGAAGGGCTTAGAGGGGAAGCCATATGAGGAGAGGCTGGAGTCACTTGGAGTGTTCAGCCTGGGGAAGAGGAGACTGAGAAGAGATGTCATTGCAGTCTAGAACTTCCTCACAAGGGGCAGAGGATGGGCGGGTGCTGATCTCTTCTCTCTGATGACCAATGACAGGACCAGGGGAAATGGCAGGAAGATGTGTCAGGGCAAGTTTAGGTTGGACATTAGGAAAAGGTTCTTCACCCAGAAAGTGGTGGAGCACTGGAACAGGCTCCCCAGGGAGGTGGTCATGGCACCAAGCCTCACGATATTCAAGAAGCATTTAGACAAGGCCCTCAAACACATGGGCTGAATCTTGGGATTGTCCTATGCTGGGCAAGAGTTGGACTCAATGATCCTTGTGGCTCAATTCAAACTCACAACATCCTATGATTCCATCTGCTCCTTCCACTGCGTAGATACAGACTCCACCATCCATTCTGATGTTAAAGCTCACTGTACTTTTCCCTTGTGCGAAGCAGTTGGAATCTCTGTTACCTCTGCAGTAAAGTCAGGTCATGCTGACAGCTGAAAAGCTCAAAGGACACTGTTGAAACTGGGATGCACCCTTGGGGAGATAGCTGGGGGTTACTGCAGACCAGCCCTTCAAACAAACATTAATTGCACTGGATACAAAGCTGAAGAGCATTCAGGAGCTCCATCAAAGTCACATTAGTGCTCAGTAAACAGCCTGATTAATTCTTCATCACCACTACTGAAAGATTATGATCTCCAGCACCTCTGTTTTGAACTAAAGAATAATTGTATTTGTCCATTTTTCTAGAGTAACTTTTTCACACCAGCAACTTCTCAGTTGAGAAAATTTGGTAAATTCATTCAAAATGCTCCTAAATAAAGTAAGCCAACATAGGATAAAGGGGTCACCTCTCATGGACTTCATAACTAGTTAAAACACATCAGACCTAGAATAAATGGAGTGTTTCCACAATGGAAAAATATCACCACTGGGGTTGAATCTGTGCTACAATCTCTGCTGTTCAAAACATTCATAAGTGATTGGGGGGGGGGGGGAGGGAAAAGTAGTGAAAAAAAAA